AAAAGTTTGTCAATTCGTAGTCACGTTACGTCCGCGAATATCCACCAGAAAAGAAAATCAAATATAGAGAACATTAACGTTTGAGGAGTTACAAGTTTCAAGTCGACGCGAACAATGGTTCCAGCTGAACTCCAATTGGCTTTGTACTGCGGTTCAGGAATCGTGTCACGCCTACACTCGCTTCTACGCCGATGAATTAGGAGCGAAAGTCGAGTTCCCCGTGGCGATTCAAGCGGCCACGGTCGTTCCCCGTAAGTGAGGCTGTAATGGGAGGGAGGCTGTCGACTCGCAGTCGTCAACCCTGGTCACGGCTCAGTGCCCGGCTGTCGCTCGGATAAATATGCCGAGACATGCCCACACTTCGTTCACCCCCGAGCTGGCATAGCGGCTAAAGCTATGTACTCGTTAGACCAATCACACGTCTCTCTTTCGACACGTGATCAGGCTCCCGCCCGTACGGACGCGCGGAGAGCAGGGTCAAGTGAAGATAGGGAGGCGGTTGATTGGTCCGGCAACCGCGTAGCTCCCACCGCACTGGCAGCTTAGGGGTGAACGGAGTATAGTGGTTGCTGGAGCTCTTGGAGCTGACGTGGGTCGCAATCGTATAATGTCCGCTGGGCTAGCGACATCATCGGGACGTCACTGCTTTCATGACTGAAGGAAAGTTTTCTCTTCTCCAAATTACTTGCAAGCATTTCGAGTGCACCTGGATTCCACTCGATTTCGTCGTATGAGCGCCTGTGTACGAATATGTGGCGGGAGGTGAATATCATAACGGAGCTAGTGAGAGGGTGGGATATTTTGGCTCCTTGAGAGTTTGGAACATACGGGTTGAAACCCGAAGCTTTGAAGTCTTGTTAAGTTTAGAAGACGTTAATTTGAATCACCGTAACAACTTTCAAGACAGTTCGAAAGGTTGTCTGTACCAAACGTTTGTAGGTACGCATATCAAAATAGTCTCAAAATTTGGGTTCCATGTAAAACGCGCGTAAAAGTGAGCGCCTAAACTAAACAAGTCAGCGTTTGCTGGCCACAGTTTTGGATTGGCGGTCTTTGTTTTTAAAATTTTTTCTGTTAAAAATACTAAGCGCAATGTCTTTGTTGTGAAATGTTGTCAATTCTATAAAGTGAGGTTGATAATTATTCTGGTAATACTGGAACGAAATTGCATTTTGAAGTTTTTTGAAAAAATCAGCATAGTCCCGTGTATGCTGATTTTTTCCGCGTGGAAAATATCTTATATATAAGAGTTCTAAATATAACGGCACGGTTAGGATTTCTGGTTGAAAATTTAAATACTTACTGGATAAGAGTTTGACCGAAGAGGGCAAATTTCCCCTGTGCTACGAAGATAGAACCGCTTGTCTCCTGCCAGCGACGCAATTCAAAAATCCGATCTTTGGCAAAGTGTGTAGCACGTGCAGAAAAACAGTAATATCTAAATTTAGACAATTTGGCCAATCGCACCCTGATTGCCAGTCTACGCCCAATTTTTTTTGCATATAAGTAAACAAAGCATAAAAGTAATTATGTTGTCCCTTTGTTTAGACAGTCGGAAATTAGTCAGCCGAAATGACCGTCTGATGTCTCCGCTATATATGATAAATAATGCCAGTGCAGTACGGCTGCTAGCCTGCGGTCTTAAACGTACATCACGTAGTAGTGATTACACGATCGAACGCCAATACGAGGCTCATTCAGATCGAAACGGAGAGTATAAAAATATGTGAAGTTGCCATGGGGAATCGAAGGAAAGCCAGATCGTAGTACTTTGGCAAAGGGAGCATTTATGTAACATAACTAATCAACGCTGGCCTCGCCAATTCTAGTACCCTTTTCGCCTGTCTTCAAGTTTAGCTTATAGTGTGCACAAGTGATCCATAAAGTAAGAGCAAACTGGCAATGTTTTACTTCACCATTTCCTTAAAATAACTCATCAGGTTAAATATCTTGCTGTAGTAACTGATAGCTTATCAGGCACAGTGCGTGGCACATCACGTCCATGATTCTTGCGTCTTCATTCGTTCTCCGGCGTTTGTATCCCCTAATGCTGAAATCGCGTTGACTAAATGGGCGTCGAAACAGGATGCTTGAAAACGCGTGATGCGACACGTCTCCGCCGTAGAAAGTGAAAGTTGGCGTCCGGCCGAGCATCTTCTGTCTAGACATCCACCAGGCAAATATCACGGCTTTCCTCCTCGCCTCCTCTGCTTTCCTTTGACGTCGATTTCGTCACACTTGCCGTCACATGCGACCTGTCTATGGTGTGCCTGTTGCATCTCCACCTGTTCTTCCGCGCCCTCGCATCCTTTCTTTCCCCATTTTAGGGACTTGAACGGCAGTGGAGGCCTCGAGCGATTGACTGACAGCCAACAGAGCTTGTCAGTGGCCGTTCGGACCCACGTCAAGAGCCCGCTTTAGGCCTCCGTGAAGTACAGAAGCGGACGTTGGCGGTGGGATTCGCGGAATGCGTGGCTTCACGCGGTTTTGAAGTCTCCTGCTCGGGCAGCCCCTGATGAGACGTTGTGGAGTCACTGCTCCTCGCGTCACGTGAGTTGGCACTGCCTAAAGGGCATCTTAAGAAATAACTTCCGTGCAATATACGCGTACTTCATTCGTAGCGTTAAAATACGCCACTCACTTGTTGGGGTCTATTTCGTAAAAGAATTCATAGTTTCCTTTTCGATAAATCAGAACAAGTATAAAGTCGTCGCCTCAAATTGTCAAGTTCCACCAAGTTTACGCGGAGATCCATGCTTGCACCTGGGTACTCAAGACAAAACGAAGAGGCCTGTTCATCCTCCTTCTGTAAGTATACATGTATACTCTGACGTGGGGTCGACCGTCATTCGCTTTGTTTTTTTTTGTTTTTTGTTTGTTTTTTAGTGCCTTTAGATATAGCGCGGTTCCCGTAAGCCTGAAAATCTCTATCCGTTCCTTAAACTGCTGTGCCACCTCCCTCCCATCTAAACTTTTGCAACTAGGATTAAGTGAAGTCGAGGGATGCAGACGGGATGTTCCCTGTGGACACGTCGCCGGTAAACGGAGTGAGTTTTCCATTCTCGCTCGATATTATGACAAGGCTATTATTATTTGTTTTTATATGCGCCTTGGTCGGGACGCGCTACCTGAAATCACCGCTGAGACATGGTTGTATAAAAACAATAATAATTGTGCCGTAAACCTTGTAAACTAAAGATTTTAGAAAACATCACGCGCCCCCCCCCCCCCCCCCCCCCCGTTTTGTACTAATCTCCAATAAAAGGTACTATAAAAAGAGTTTTTTTTTCGTTTGTATGGAAAAGCCAAGTTCCAGCCGCTGATTGCCCGGCGCACCCTCGGCGCGATCCGTGGCAACAGCGGCGGCCGCCGCGATTGGCCGGCGCGGTTGACCACGATTCAGTATCGTTTTAGAAACGGCCAAGTATTCCTAATACCGGCCGGTTGAGACCCGATAAATTATCGGAAAACAGCGCTGCATTTTGTAGATCAGCGTGGCTTTGGCCGACCCAAGTGATGTTCCGCCGACATTGGCCACATCACTGCAATACTGGCCCGACACTCACGATCAAGCGCCAATATAGACAGTATCATAATGATATTGGCCCGATTTTTCCGATCCGACGCCAATATTGGCGCAATACCGTGTGCTGCCTGGGTTGTAATTTTACAAGAAAGAACCGACCTGTCAAATACACGTTTGACGAAAAGTTTAGATTGCTACGTGCAGGCGTCGATTTTTACAGTCCATCTTAGATCGAGCCTGGTGACTTGGACTACCCTACATATCGTCGGCGGCCGGAACCGAGCCGTCAGTGGCGAAACGTGGCCTTCCACGCCAATACACCGCAGACGAACTAAAGGGGCAGAAAAACGACATTCATGCTTTCGCATTCCGAGGGCATAGGTGCTCTCGGAATTTTTTAAAAACTTTTTGTTCATTTCTTACCTTAGTCATGTTAACGTACCTAGGTCGTCATATTCATGGATGGTATGCGACAGGCAAAAAAGGGCATAGCGCTTGAGTCGGAATTGAATGTGGGCACAACCAAAGTCTGTGGCGGCGGGAGATTGCTCCAAATGTCGCCGAAATCAAAACCTCGCCATCTTTTTTAAGAACTAATTTTGTTATGAAATTTTTAAGAATACGTATCCTTTCGTTTTGTACAGTAGCGAGTTTTCGTTAGCGTAGATACTGGTGCGTTTGTGAAGCGATTTCATTTTTCTAAGCTTGTTAAACTATATATTTTGGACCTTCGAAGTTCGGGACGAACTTCTCACGCATGGAGCGTGGTTTCTGATTAAGGATTTTTAACGTAACCGCTGACGCACGGTCGCGCTTGATGCTGGTTCGCTCTGTAATTTTTTATAACTTGCGCCATTAAGATTTATTGAAAAAACCAAGGGGTTTATTTTCAATTTGTACGGCGATAAAAACTTATCACCAGGTAAGTCAACATATAAAATAATTTTGAGGAAACCGGGGGTCTTCGCGCCGACTTTAAGGTTTATTTTAGAGTACCGTTGAAATGAAGACTGCTCATGAATAATAAAACCACACAGCCCAAAGACAATAATTAAAAAATGATTTACCAGAAGTGCTTGAATTTAAACAGATACATAAAGTGCACTTTTATTCATGTGTTACTGTTTCTACATATGTTCTAAACAAGAAGATAAGCGACCTTGATAATCCTTTCCACATGCATGACGGTAACCTTCGCATTTTTTTGTTTATTTAGGGGATTAGATCACGTTGTTGTTCACAAAACACTCCATAATTAAAATAATATAAGAGAAGTGCTGCCGCACGTGACAACGGAACATAAAAGTTCACGGCTTAACAGTACAAAAAGATAGTCCTTATGTAGCATCGTTCGTTTTTCGCTTTAACTTTGTGACCTGTAAACTTTCCTATCCGTCTGACTCTTGAAATATCTCACTTCGAGTTATTCACCATCACGCAGTTCACCAACACGAAATCCGCCCCCTGTTTGTCTTTAGAAGAAGCCATCACGGTCGCTATCGTAGTCAGACCTGAAGGACTTCTTATTGGCCGTTGAGTAGCTCTCCACGAATCGGTCCTTCTTCGGGTTTTCATCTCTCCTGTAAAATGCGAAGCTCCTGCTGGTCGTCTTCGGCGGTGGCGGCCCTCGACGCTTCGAGTGAGTTCCGCTGGCCAGAGGACGCGACCATCGACCGTGACCTCCTTCGCGTTCACGGGATGGTTCGTTCTCGTAGCGTGGTCCGTGATAGCGCTCCTCACTGTGGTCCCTCTGGTAATGGTCGTTCTGGTTATCCCGATACCACGGTCTGCCGTCTCCCCGGTACCGACCTCGGTCTTCTTCGGGACGTCCACCGAATGCTGTGGCTGATCCCCTCAGACCTCCTTGGCGTTCGGTGTACCTTTTCGAGCTTGAATCTTGGGGACTATCGAACGACGGGAAGTTGGCCAACGAGCCTTCGAAGTGTTGCGGTGAGAAACTGAACGTCTGAAACTTGTTCTTGTCGTATTGTGTCGTTTCGCTTAGAGCAGGTCCTAACGGATGGCCGTTGTGACGAGGTCGAGGGTAGAAGGAGTCGTAGGTTGGCGTATTCTGGGTAGACCTTGTTTGAGGGTCGTGGCTTTTCAGGTAGTCCTTCACCGGTGCGGTGTAAGAGGCGGGATTAGTTGAGTCTACATGCGATTGTAACCGGCGGTTGCTGTTTTCTTTCTCAGAACCAGGGTCCTCGGGAAAGAAACACTCTTTCGTCATGATGATACTCGTCATCTTGGACTCCTCAGGAGCGCCTCGTTTGTGACGAAATAGCGAATGAAGGTCTGTCCCTGCCCCTCCGAGCGCCTCCTTAGGAACATGCTTAACCTCCTTGACGGTAGTCTTGCAACCTTTTTGGTCCATTTTGGACAGCCCAAAGTCGATTGGCTTCGGTAGTGTAAAAAGAGGTCTTCGTTGGCCGGTTGGCTGACTGTAAGGCTCACTCTCGATGTTTTGTCGAATATCTTCGAAACTATCTCTGGTAGGCCTCTCGCCGTGATGATCCTCGGATGAAGAAAAGAAGTTATCGGCTTCCTCTGCCGGTGGTGGACGCTTGGCATAGTTTCGCCCACTGCTTTTTGCAGCTCCTCCCCTATAGGATCCAATACCTCGCTCTTGAGGACTTGCTATCGCTGGCTGCGGAAATCGTTGAAAAGTTGGAGGAGGGCTGAATCTGGTCCGTGGTACAGAGGGTGGTGGCAGTGGCACTTTATGATGTTGAGCTGGCAGCGTTAGAGCTGTAAGTGCAGCCCTTTGAGGTTGATTTGTCACCAACGAAGAAGGCGGCCTTGCAAGCGATGGATGATGGGGAGCTGGCGATTGTTGAACGTGACGTTCGTCAAAACTGGACTGCAGCATCGGTCCGACTGCCCCGAAACGGTGATTGTTGTTGGATATGTGCTGAGAAGGATGTCTCTGTGGTGCTTGATACGGAATGCTTATGGTGACAGGCGCTTCGCTAGCTCTCGGCGGGCTGCTGTCAAAGAAAGTTGAAGGGATCTTTCTTTCTGGTCGTTGGTAAGGTGCACGGTTTTCGAGAGTGGGAGACATGGCGTGGTCCCGAGAGTTATCCTGTGGCGAGATAACGTTGGTTGGGGCGTACATCGTTGACCTAGAGTACGCCCCTGCGTTTGGTATTCCCTGTGGTACTGGTCTGAGCGTTTGAGGTGGAAATAAGTTTGCGTTTGGCCCCAACGGTCTCGAGATCAACCGCTTTCGAACGATGACGCGGGGAGGCCTCAAAACAGCCGTCGTTGGTAGGCTCGCTGTTTGTGGGTACATTGGTCCATGGGTGAGGGGTGCCGCCGTTGACGGTGGAGTCAGCTGTGGCTGCTGCTGAAGCGGCTGCGCGAGCTGCTGAATCGAGGCAGAGGGGGCACTCGTGGCAGGGCTCGCTGGCCTTTTCCGTACCGTCACAGGGGGTGGAGAGCTTGCGCTGCTGCGGAGCACTGGGGGGTGCGACGACTTCCGAGCGCTGAGACGAGTAGACCAGTCGTCCCACTGTCCAGCTTGCCGGACGGCCGACGGTGGTGCAGTTTCGGGACCCGAATATGGGCTTACGTCGCTCTGATCCGGATATTTTGACTTCGGTGGTGTATGGTCCAGGACAGCTGTCGTGGTTCCGGAAGCTTGATACCGTGGAGCGAGCCCCGAAACGTTGGCACTTGTCCAGACGAGTTGAGTGAAGACTATTCCCTGCAAAATCAGAAAAAAAAAACATATTTAAGTATTTTGTTTCATATTCACTTATTCTTAGTATTCACAAATCAATCATATGAATGAAAATAAAACTAAGACATTTTTTTTTTCTCTGTCCCAAACCACCCTGAAGTGAATAATCAAGTTTGCGCGATAATAGGTCCAAAATGAAAATTTCAGTTAAACCCTGAATGAGGAAAAAAAAAAAAAAAGACTGAAAGCAGCTAGCTATCCGAAAAGTCAATCCACGCTTGAAGTTTTTTTGTTGTTTTTTTTCTGTTTTTTTTTTTAGGCTATTGAAACCCTCGTAAATGACAGCCGGAAGTAACATTGTAAATGCCCCAAACCTCCTCATAGTTTGCTTGAATTTCAGTGTAATAGGTGCACCGAAAAACGGCGAAACTCTGATTGATTAAATTAATTCTGATATAGATTGTAGAACGAGACCGCGGGCAACAAAGTGTGAGCGATGGAAAGAACTCATTTATATCAAAACGTAACCATTTTGACCCAAATTTTCTTAACTAAGGCGGTGATAATAAAGCATATTGCAATTTTTTACAAAAATGCTTTACACACACACACACAAAAAAAAGAAAAAGCGTTTTGTTGTTTTGACCTTTCGGTCTCGAGCCTCATCCAACGGGGCGGTGCACCCCGTTGGGTGAATTGCAACCCGTTCACATATGGGAGTTGGAAAAGTTATGACGGTCAAGTTTAGGCTGTCCTTTGTTCCTTGCATATCAACCGATTCATGTAAAATTCGACACTTCTTTTTTTTTTTTTTTACTTTTTTATGTAGAATGATTTACTCTCGTAGGCGATGACGTGCCGGTCTTTTCACCATGCTCCGTCAACGCGTTCTTGGCATCTCTCTTTCACATCGTATTAGTGTCTGCGAAGATTTCCCGGGATGGTATAATTTGTTCTCACAGACAGAGTAGGACAGTCAGCACAGGGGGATGCTTTACGAAGGTTCATGACCCATTTTGTTTTGGAGGATGGAGGATGGAGGACCGCCTGTACGTTGTAAAAACAGAAACGTCAAACTTGTTCTTTTTTATGGAGTTAAATTTTTTTAAACGAGCTCTACTACCTTCACAAGCACCTCGACTCAATCGATGCGTCATTTAATTGCGTGCTAAAACGATTAGCGGTTGCCTTACATTTTCGTATTCGTCCACTGTGAAAATATCCAGTCAACTGACTTTCCAGATCTAGAAGGGAACCAGAGCCACGACGTGCATTGTCTTAACTTCCCAACAGGCCACCCCGCATCGCGTAAATCTTTCACGTTTCATGCACTCTTTACGCGTGAAACAGCTTTCTGCTCTACAAATTACATACGCAGAAAGAAGGTTTCTAGCAACAAGCCAGATCCCCGGGAGAACCGCTACCCGACAAAGGTTCGTCAACAACGTCTACAAGACACTACGTGGCCCTCCGGCAGCCCAAGATCACACACTGCACCGACCTTCGGCGTAATCCATATACGGCCGGGGCAGTACAAAGACCGCTGCCCGTGTTCTTAGCATGTTTTGGACCCCGGTCACGCACACGCTCATTATGACTAGGTTTCTCGTATTTTTTTTTTCCTCCAATTCAGTGGTGTATTTTTATGTTCATCTCTTTTTGTTTCTCTCGCAGATTCGGAGTTTTTCGGTATCCATTTTCGGTGCGAGAGAAAAATGGGCATTTACCGAGGCTTACACTGTAGAGTTAATGGGAAAGAGTTCTTGGAGTTTTTGGGAAAGCTTCAGGTACCACTAAGAGAATAAAACGAGAAATGGGGTATTCCCTAAAGAAGAAGCGGCCTCCCAGGCATTTCAGTTGGAGCTAGGTTTTGGTGTAAACAGAAAGTTAAACTGCAAATGCAATTTTTTTGTGTGCATTTTTTTTTTTTTAGTTTTAAGGGTTGCGTTGGTTCGGAATTTTTACGGCTTTCTTGACTTTTCTACAACCGGCTAAGGGGTTACTTTTCGGAATTTATCGGTACATAAAAAAAAACAAAAAAACATGAAACCTATATATAGTTATGACGATAGGCCAAACTTAGCACCGCCCCCCCCCCCCCCTCCCCCCCCCCAAACAACACTGTTCTGCGAAGGAAAATAACTCGAGTACTTGCGCGCCCCATCCCGTGCCGATCGGCCCCATCGTACGTGGGGGAAACAATAAAGAGTTTCAGTCGATCCTTTCGATGATTCCGATAACTACACTCGATACCTCACCGACGCCTTTGCACACGCATCGAATCGCTACCGGGTACCGCCATCGGAGGCGTCGGAACGATCTACTAAAACTCTACTAACTACCCTAGACGCCTTCGCGGACGTGATTATGGTCTGCAAAGAAGGGACACCTTGAGGTAAAAGCAGAGCAACTGGGCAAGGACGGTGAACAAGAAATGCTGCGTTGGCGGATCACGCGGAGAAGACCGGACCCGTCTCCGAGAGCATGCATATATCCTCGCAACGGAAATAAAGCTGGAGGAGGACGCTCTTACTCCCTAGTCACCGATTGTGTAAGGAGAATAGGGCGGGGTGAGCCCCAAGAATCTCGGAATCACTTCGCAGCCAACGACATTGCGACATTAGCCGAGAGGAACGCCGAAAGTGGACTAGCAAATTAAACACTGTAAACACTATACATCAACTCATGTTTACAAACAAACCGGAGCGCCCGGAGCGCCCAGAACGGCCCTAGCGGACGCCACCGGCGCCGCGCATGCGCGATGGGGGTGTGGGCAAAAAGTTCGCCGTCACCCATAAACAAACCATTGAAATGCGATGATGTCGGCGTCGGTGTGAGTCCCCGCGCTCTTTTTCGCGTTGGAATTGTTGATTCTACATCCTCCTAACGATGTCTGACTACTTGAGCGGCGTCAGCGAAATTAACGAGGTTCGTTATACCGCAAAACTTCGCGTGAATAATCTGACATGCGGCGATTCATTCCGCGTGGACGCCGCAGAATGTACGCTAAAGCCTGATTCACATGATGAGATTTCGCTCGCAGTTTTCAGTAGCGATGTCGCTCGGACTGCAAAAGCGTGAACCGTAGCTGAGGTGGTCGACGTCAATACTAAGAATCGCAAGCAGAATCTAACCAAGTGAATCAGGCATAACAAGTCGGTGATGGCCACTGGTAACAATGATCAACATCTCCTTGTATCTACTGTTTACGTCGAGCCTGCTTACCAACCTTCAAACTTAAGTCTTTTGAGGCCTGCACTTACTTCTTATCGCAAAAAAATAAGTACCGGGCCCACGTTTGGTCTACGGGCCGGTGTCCTCTACAAAAAGCAGACGACAAGCAGAAACGTTTGAAAGAGCAGACAACAGTTCGAACGATCAGGCGACCGTTTGAACTTGAAGACGCACTGAACGTAGTCCGCAGGTGGTCCGTACAACTTGACGGTTTTCCGGCGTTCATTTTGGAACAAAACAAATAAATCTGATGGCCAGAAGTATCCCTGAAGTCAACCCAAAATGCTTCCCGCCCAAGCAATCGTGGTCCGACGGCGTCTGGTTTTCCCTTTTCACGGCACATATCCACGTTCTCGAACGAACCGAGCGCATGAAAACTGACCTTCAAACCTTTCTCGACCCTTTTGGTACAGCCCCAGTCGCAGCATTTTGACAAGAAGGCAGGTTTTTGTCTGGCTCCTTTCAAAACAACGCAGGAATGCACGTCTCAGATGGGCACTTCCGCCCACAGGACGCGCCACCACCGCGCCGTGACGTAACAGAGATGAGTTCGTGTATAACCAACGCCTATAAATTGCTTAAGTTCTCAGTGAATATATTCAGGGTGCAAAACACGACCTAAACCTGTTGGGAGCTTTCATTAGGTACTTAAGCACCCCCCCCCCCCTCCCTTTCCCATGGCACCATTTTGTCAGTATATGAATGGAGGGTCGATATTCGACCCGATTTTATCGGATATAGTACAGTAGCTGAATTCAGATGTATCTGATTTTTCCTCTTTAAGGGCAAGTCGAAATTTATTATTACATAGTGTTTCCTACTCATACACACACAAAAGTGCTTATTGAGGACGACACTAAGCAGCCGACGTTTCTCTGAGAAACTTAGCTTCTCGAGGGTATAAGAGGATCCCCGCGGTTTCTTACCGCACTTATTATTTGAGATTCGGCCCTCTTTGAGCTTTTCAACGTGTTGTTTATCGGGAAAATAAAATACTCGTTCGAGTAACCAAAACGTGAAAACTGTCATTCAATGCGGACATTTTTTGTTTGTAGATTTTTGTTTGACGGCATGGTTTTTCTGGGTCCCTCTAGTCTCAAAAGTGGCCGCATTTGTATTCGCAGGCTTATTATTTTCGCTTCTATGTCCATTTCAGTGACTGCTAAGTGCTGCCAGTCAACCCCTATGTGGTTTTGGCA